CATCATTGCAGGAAAACAACCGTGATTATATTATGGTGATAGGGTCACACACACACACACACACACACACACACGAGACACTTGCTAGTGATGGGATTCCCAGGACTCTCCCAGCGCTGTGCTTGAGGGAGTGGGGCCAGCTCTGTGTGGTGCATGCTAGAAAATGGGCTCAGTTAAACCTGAGTGTGGGAACTGCAGCTTTAAATTCTTTAAATTTAAATCCCCAGGGCTTGTTACACACAAAACCTCAAGCATTATCATTAGGGGGTTATGTCTTAAATTTCTGTGTTTGCTGGAGGGAGTTCTTATGATTAAAGAGAGCAGTTTTCAATGAGCAAGACAAGTTCTGATCTGTCCTTTTTTTCACCTCGGCTCGGGGCAAAGACCAGCAGCTTGAGGTTGACCCCTGGAAGAAGCTGGCTCTGAAAAGGAAGATGTGAAAGGCTGGAAATGCTCTTTCTAATGCTCTGCTCTGGAGCCAGGAAAAGGCAGCTGCTTCTGGCCTTTCTATTTTTTTCCCTGATAGCTGAGAGCTGGGCTTGTTGCCATATCTGTTTGTCTGTCTGTGTCTCCTTGTTTTTCTCAGAAAGCTTCAGAGGCCAGTTGCCCGTAGCGGGTTGCTGGGAACAGAGGTCGCTCCTTGTATCGTCTTAACTCTCCATGCCAGAGCGTTCATGCTTGAATAGGAAACAGCAAGATCTGTCAATATAGGCCTTTTCTTCAGAGCTTTGAGTCTGCATTCTCCACGGCCATCTGTTCCCTTTCACCCTTTTGGACAATGTTGCTATTTGAAACTTCCCTCCCTCCCTCCCTCCCTCCCTCTCCCCATCTCTATTACCAAAAAAAAAAAAAGTTTCTGTGAAATAGTTTGGACTCTAACATCCTTAACTATACTTTTAACTAGATAAAATTGACATTAAAAGTGACAGGGGGGGGTCAAAAACCGTACAGCTCAAACGTTCAGTATCTTTTTTCTCTTCATGTGGCTGTGTAGGAATTACTTTATTTAAAGCAGTGATGGTTCTTATTATGTTACAGATGTGGGCTGTGTTTGTTGTTGTTATGAGAGGTATGGCACCAGCCCCTATAGACCATAATGTATACATACACTATTAACAAAGCTGACATTCTAAATTTCTTGTTTTGAAGCTGCGAAAACACTGCATTTTTATAGTCTTGTTAAGAGTCCTGTTGGGCAACTGAAAATCAGCTTTGACTGTATGGAAATTTCAAAGTGGATTATGCCTGGCCATGAAGTGAAGTTGTCATATAGCTAAAGTTGATTTGCTCTCCTGGGATTTGGCAGTCATTGTGCTCAACATAAATTTCCTAACAATGAGCAGTATCTGGTGAAGTAGTTCCATTAGTGCAAAGATTAACATTTGTGCAATGCAACGTCCCCAATCTCTCCTCCCCAAATCTGTTCTAGAGGATTGGGGGAACCCCTGGAACAGATTTATTGGCTGGAGAAGAGGAGGGGACTTTCCTTTGAATAGCCATAAGTCCTTGCCCTGACGAACAACTTTGTTGGATACTGCCCAATATAAGACAACACACACAAGTCTTTATTGTTGGTTGTGATGGTGGTGATGACAGCTGTGGTAAAATTGTGAAAACGGTCCCAAGCCTCTTCAGGGCCTTCTTTTTAGGCACAGTACAGATTTCTAGTTGGGAATAGTCCTTGTCTAGGACTAGAGGAGAAATACTCCAATAGTTTATTGAGAGTGGGGCTCACCATTAGCAGTGGCACAGCCTCATCTTTCTGTCAATCTATCGCTCTATCCAGCCCCCAACCCCCGCTTCAAGTGGTACCAGCAGCAATAACTTGTTGGCAGTCTTCCCACCATTTTGCATCCTTTGCACATTCCTGGACCTAGCATCATTCCGGGGCTTGACAGGGAAAGAAGGTATACCTGTTGCCACAAAAAATGGTAGAAAATATTTGGAGAAAATTCTGCAAAGGGCCTTTTTTTTTCTAGGGAGAGCAGAAAAAGAAAAAGCTTAGAAAGCTTCTCAGAAAAATATCTTCTACGAAACCTTGGTTCAACTCTGGTTCTTAATGTTATGGAAGCAATATGGTTTTTGCGACTTTGTTGCTGTTTTCCTATGCCTCGCTCTCTCAATCTGGCCTCTGATGATGGCATATGTAATTCTGCCATCTCACATTATTATTTTATTCCTATGTTGCCAAAGTAATGTTGAAACAAGCCACCAAAGAGCAGTCGCTGCACTGTACTTGTTACACACGAATCAGCCCTGAATGACTTGGTTCATTTTATTTTATTTTCTGCCTGTCTTTTTGGGAATTGGCAGTCATACTAATAGAAGAGCATTGGAAGTTTACCTGAGAGTAGTTGTAACCTGCTTCTTTGAGTTCCTTTAACATTAAGAGCAAGATGTTTACTGCCTTAAAACCCAGTTGCACAGGCTGTTTCCCATATTTTCTGTAAATCAGACCGGTTCAATTTGGAGGACATTATGACCATGTTTTCTTTTCATGGCAGAGTTCTGGTATCTGTTTGTAAAGGTAGAAACAATGCTTCTATTGTGTGAGTGAATGTGGTATTAGTGTGTGGCATTTTATTATTTGGATCTGGCAATGATGTTACTATTGTCTCAGATCTGTTTATTTAAATTATTATTATTTTTACATAATGTCCATTTAGATAGACAGTCAAGTCAGATTGCAGGTGTGAGTAGGATTGTTCCCTCCCCAACTCCCCAGTCAATGTTGACACTCATATCTAGGCTTACATTTTTGGTTACGTTCTTTCCTACGCTATGATTCCAGTTGGAACTCCAGGCCTTTACTTTTGAGTAGGGGAAAGTGATATTGCAGCTGAAAAGGTTGGATTTCAAATGGTCACATGGTTCAAGCACAGGGAGGAAATAGTTCTGAACATTGTGACTTACACAAAGAACAATTTGGACTAGCATTTAGATTAAAATCCAAGATGAAATAATTGCTTTCAAGTTGTGTCTGTAATTAACCAAAGTACTGTTGGCAGGCATGCAAAATTCAGGTGTCCAAATTCTTTTGTGCCTCAAGCCTATATTTTTGAAAATTCTTGTAAAATGTGGCTATTGGCAGATGTGTCAACCAGATGAAAAAAATCTAAATCAGTTGGAAAGATATGTGGGTTCATTCTTCTCAGTAAGCAGCAATAGCAGTGAAGACAAACCAAGAGAAGTCCCAACAATTCTATTGTTGAACGCTTGCAGTAGAATTATTGTGGTAATTACAACAGAAATATACACATGGGGATATTAATTTACATCTAAAGAATGTCTTGTCAGGGTTCCCCTATCAAATTTAGAAGTGAACAGAAGTTGAAAGTACCAGCTTTATCTGCCAGAAGCTAACCTGGATTCTTGCTCCTCGTGCCATTCATCTCTGTTGAGGACCATAGTCCTCTTTCAGCTACACCAGCTCTTAGCCCTTCCATGAATGGCCACTGCCCATTCTGTCCCTATACAAACTTCTGTGTAAGCCTCTCCTTTTGTAATCAGGCTTGATGCGGAAAGTACCTCCTGTCTGGAGCTCACAGACTCTTTGTTGCATCAAGCCTTTCACCGGTTCCTCATTCTCACCTATTCTATATGTGCCTTGACTGCCTTTCTGGAGTTGACTCCAGCTGGCAATTTCATTTTGCTCCTCAGTGAGACACTTAGGCCCAATTACCTTACTGGAAAACACCCAGACCTAACAGGTCTTGGCTGCATGGGGGATATGGAATATCTGTGCATGATACTAACTAATGAGATTTCATGGTTTTCATGGTTTTCTGAGAAATGGGCTGGACTAGTTGTTGTAGACCCCACTGGAATTGTGGCCTCTCTAAGTAGTATTTCCTGCAAATAATTTTCATCTCAGCAGAGAGGAATCATGAAGCCTAATTCCACTTAGGACACAGTTCAAGATTACTTTCAAGGATGAATCTGCAGGTCAGGGTTTAGTTTTTTAATCACACTGAGATATTATCCTTTTACCATAAGTTGAAATCCATGTGGAATTGACATGAGCAATGTTTGATGAACTCATTTCAGTCTGCAATGAGATCCTTCTCATAGTTTGATTCAACATGTATCTCCCCAGAAGATGAATGCAATCATTACCTATAAATAAAGAAATGTGTTCCCTACAGATGCTGGTGCAACAACGTTTCTAATAGAACTCAATATATGCAGATGGAAAAATCTTCCTGCACTGTTCATAACTTCACCTTTGCTGAATATACCTAAGTTTAAGCACTTTATAAACAATAATATGGATCAGTATGTGGGGTGGGGTGGGATTATAAGATCCATCCCTAAAACTACTGCTTTTTTTCCTTTTAAATATTTTTACTGTGAGGCTTATGTATGTTAGGCAACTTTCTAGGTTTTAGCTTGTGGAATTTGTAAAAATGGCAAATCCAGATGATGGGTGAACAGCAGCAAAGAATGACATAACATAACAGCTGAGAGAGACTGGCGTGGGAAAATGAAATGCTTTACCCTGAGGTTTTGAGCATAGTGCGCAGAGGCGTTTGAATTTGCACTGACAGTTTCAAATCTCTCTTGTTTCTTCCTCAAGCTTTAAGGGACATAAGCATATGTAATTCAAGCATTCCACTCCCTCACAATCACCACATCCAATATGCTTAATACCATTGTATTCTCTCCTAAGGGAAGAATTTTATGTAATAGCTCATAGTAACACTCGTAATAAATTTTCAGAAAACTCAGTTCTCTGAGTGTTGCGCTTTATGTAACTAAAATGACACCATCCACACACCTGAGAGAATGCTGTGAGCAGGCCTGGAGGAATTGAAAGGTTTGCAGAAGTACAAAGCAGGGTGAGAGGAGCCCAAAATGGCTCAGTTGGGACTGAGTATTTTGGGTTGCCAATGAGTACTGGCTGACTGTTGGATGTGGGGGAGAGAGGAACAGGATGAAGTATCCTGAAAGAAGAAAGTGCTGGCAGGCTAAAACCCTGAACGGAAACAGTCCACACTGCAATTCTGCTGAGCTCAGTCGGTTAGAGTGTGGTGTTGATAACACCAAGGTTGCAGGATTGATCCCAGTATGGGACAGCTGCATATTCCTGCATTGCATAGACTAGATGATCCTCAGGGTCCCTTCCAACTCAGCAATTCTTTGCTTCTGTGCTAATCTTCAGAAATGCTATTTGGGACTTCCATGTCCTAAGTCCTATCTTATGTACAGACAAGAAAGAAAATCCTTCCTTTTCTTTTTCTAAATGATGAATAAGTAGATATGATTTTGCAGTGGGAACTGTTTTATAATACAAGAAATAAGGATGAAGAGGGGAAGATATTTGTAAACAGGATTGGTTGCAGGATCCTATCAAGGCAAAGGAAGAATAGAACGAAAGAGAAAACCAGAGTTTTATAGAGACACTTATGTTCACATGAGAAAATTTTTCAGTCTGTCAAACAGAAAAGCTGAGAGAAATACTGAATTTGAAGAAGAACATCAGGAGTTATTGGTGATCAGAGTGTACATCCTCTTATAAATTCTTATACTGCACCATCATTGCTGCAAAATCAACACAACAGAGTAACTATAAAAAGAGAAAGAGAAGACAGTTAGAATATTGGAAGTTAAAATGTTTGTTATTGTTAACCACAGAAGTTTTTTCCTTTCAAATGAAAAGAGAGAATCTCATCAATTCTTTTAGCTTGTGGTTTTCTGCAACTCCTAATCTTAGCCTCTCTCTGCCACTATAAAACAACCAGCTGTCCTCCCACCTCCACAGAGTCTGTGAAACCTGATCATTTTACTCAGGGTTGGTGCTTCTAGTAGATCATCTGGCTAGGATTCAGAACAGCTGGATAATTTCTTTTCTTTTTCTTTTTGGTTCTTTAGTAGACAAGAGCCTAAGTACTGGCTTGAGGCCTCTCACTGAAGGGTTTCAAAACAAAATGGAATCCACATGAACCCACTGACGCCAGGAGTTGAGATTCCCTAATGCAAAACATGTTGTGATGACAGTAAACCTGCATGCCACTTCCAAGGATCCTGAAATTAAAAACAAACATAATGTGATTGACCCGGTAGAGAATTCACATTACTATTCTTAATACTAAATCTAGAGCTCATATTATTTTCAGGGTGGAGCTTGGCTTAGATCTTTTGTTGTTTAGAAAAGCCTCATTAAGTCTCACTGGTTATACCGGGGTGTGGGGGTGGGAATCTATGAAAAAGTCATTTTTCTAGCAAATATTCACATATTTCTTTAGGATTGTGATCTAAATGGAGAAAGGGAGCAAAAGTTAAAACATTTTCAAGAGCAACCAAAAATATGGGGGTATCCAACAAATTCATACTCAGTGTAGACCCACTGAAGCTCATAGACTTAAGTTACTCAAGTTACATTCTCCATCACCCCGTGGTTGTATTTTTTAAAAAATAATAATTGAGGATCCCTGGGTGCATTACTTATAGCATGCTTTCCTGGTCCAGGAATTGCCAAAGCAGGCAAACTGAGTGGAGCTGGAAACAGACATTCCTTGCCACTGAAGACATCTGGACCTCCAGTTACAATTGTGGATCAGGTAGTTCTATCAGCCTACATACCTGCTTCATTTGGGGAAGTGCTACCCCATCCAAAATAGGCTGTCCTCCTAATCCCTGCACCCAAAAAGCCTGTACCTTCATCTTACTGGGATTCACTCATAGTTTATTTGCCCCTCATAAGTGCATCACTGCTTATCTACTACCTCATATCTATCAGCATATCTACTACCTCATCTGATTCAGGTGGAAAGGAGAGGAATAGCTGTTGGTCATCAGCACATTTATACTACTATCCTCCTAATCATCCAAAATCATGAAGATCCTTGAATGAGTCAAAGCAAAAATTTGCGGAAAAATGGGATGGTTATAGAAGATATGTTCAAAAATACAATAATAGTTTTGACTCCGTGCTAGCATTAGAGTGATAAAGGAACTAAAAGGAGGTGGATAACAATTAAGGATTTATTATGTTTTCAGAATGTATTAGAAAAATTATATAGAAAGGTTTATTGTTTTGTGTACATTCAAATGTAAGATAAAACATATGCAAAGGGACTTGACAGGAAGTCAAAGTTGAAGAAAATATTTTGGGAGATAAAAGGGGGAAAATATTTACTTTCATTATTATCATTTTGGGTGTGGGTGTGTGGGTGTCTGCACATATGTGTGTTGTATGCAATGTTTGGGGGGAAATAAGACGATAAATAACAAATAACAAACTAAATATCGATGTATGTAATTTTTATTTCTTAATTATATTTAGTGGTAGTAAGGCTGCATTGTTTTTTGTAACATAAAATCATTCAATAAAAATTATTTTAAAAAAGAAGAAGAATGAGTCAGGCTTTTCCAGGGCTTATCAAGCTGTTTCGGTATGGGGAAAAGTCATATGTTGGGGAGGGCCCATAACTCAATGGTAGAGCATCTACTTTGTATGCAGAAGGGACCAAGCTCAATCCCTGGCATCTCTAAGTAGGGCTGTATGAAACGGGAGAATCATTGCCAACCCATGAAGAAAGTGCTGAGCTAGATGGACCAATGGCTCAGCATAAGGCAGCTTCCTATGTTCCTTCCTATCTATAAGATGAACAAGATTCTGCCCTTCAATGCATCCACAGCGCATTGTGGATTGTCTGGTGAGCAGGTGATGTAGAGAAAGAATTTCTCTCCTAATTCAGTTTATTTGAACAGTATGTGCATCTTTGTATTATTATCCACTACCCCCCACTGTGTTTTATTTTTCACAAGCCAATGCATTGCAGAGTGATTAGTTATATGCCATTTTTTTAATTTATATGTAGCGCTGGCATACATGTTTGAATAGATTTCTGCATACCCCCCAAACCTTTGTTTATTAGTTCCTCATGGATCAGCAATGAAGCATGCGCCATGTCCTGGGTACGGAATGCATCTTGGCCGGCTAGTCCAGGGAATGAGATCACCCCTTTAGACATCAAAACCGTCAAGCGTACCTCCTAATCTGAAACAATACTGCGGAATGGAGAGAAGGGAGAGTGTGAGGCAAAAAACATGTGAAGGGCACCACATGCATGGAGACATGCTTTATTTAGCTCTCTTTAAAAACTCCTTCCTGCAGCCATTCAATTGATTTGATTAGCATTGTCCCTCGGGTTGGTTGGTTTTTTTAACTTCAGTTTAAATCTGCCAATACATTTATTGATTTAATTTCCATGAACTTTCACGTGAGGGAAACCAATAATTCTGAAGGAAAAAAGCACGCCTCCTTGAAAAATAATAATGTATCTTGTTCCAAGCACTATCTTAAAAGTGGTGTTGCCTCCTGTGTCAGAGAAGGGGCAGTGCTTCATCTAAGGTGGTGCCCACCAGTTGTTGTTTTAAGAGGGTCAAATGAAGAGCCCCACTGCAAAGACTACAGGATTTTGTTCTCACAATGGCTAACCAAATGCCTGAAGAAAGCCCCAAAGCAGGACTCAATTGTCTTCGGTTAATGATCTCCAGCAACTGGTATTCACACACATACTGTCATTACTTCATTTTATGGCAGTGATAGTTTAACTGTGTGAAGAAGTACTAACCTTTTGTCCTGAATCTTACAGCAGTCACCCTGGTCCTAGTATTATGAGAGACAGAAAAACTACTATCTACCCCCTTTTTTCTAAATCATGTATAATTTTATATACCTCTACCATGTCCCTCACTACTTGCCCTTTTTTAAAACTAAAAAGCCCTAAATGTTGTATTTAGGGCCAACATATTGGTATAATGGTTGTTTTGTGGATTGGGGAACAGAGGGGGCGGGGCTTATTTGGGTCTCTAGAAAATGTCAGTAAAGTTGAAGATGGGATAAGGCAAGGGATATGTGTGATAAAATGCACTGTTAATCTTCTTTCATGGTCTTTTAAAAATTCATTTCACAGTTGAAATAATAGAATAATGTTTAAGCAACATATTTGAGCTCCTATCTCTCTCCCTGCCATTTCCGATTTCCTGCCCCTGAGACATCTGTTGTCTCCTAGTGTTTGGTGCTAAAAGAGGCAAAATGTCTGGCTCTTAACTGCCATTGAACTCTCCTGGGGACCTCCTCAGTTTCCTCCACAGTACACGTTGCCGCTTCCTGATTTACTTCCCTCTATTTTATACAACATGCAGAGATTGCAGAAGGGGTATAGTGTTTCTGTTTTAAATAGAAACCTTCCCACCCACCCCCAGTTGCCCTGTAAAAGGGAGGTTGCTCTACCCCAAAATAGTTGTCTTGCGCTAAAGCATATATGTGAGCAGCTCAGAGGGTCACACAAATAGTCCTGCCAGCAGTTGTCAAGGCAGGTGCTGCTGCAGCCTGGTACCACAAGTGTTTACCCCAGAAATAAGGAAAGAGTAATTTATGTGCCTGCACTCTTTCTAACCACTGTGCCCCCTGAACCTGCCTCCACTGCTCACTCAGCCTACCTGTTGACATAAGTGGGAGTCCTGGGTGTGTACAGGAATGCAGAGGGCAATGATATATTTCCTTCGCTTGCATGCTAAGTTTAACTGTTTCCTAGCCATGTCCACATCTGGATTGCAATTTTCACGACGTGAGAGTTGATAGAGGTGCAGAAATAAGAACTTTGGAAAGATTTATTTTTCTCATGAGTCAGCCTCTGTCTTATATATGTTGTGTTAGTTATCCCTGCTCATTTGGTGACATGGTGGAAAGTCTTCAGTACATATATAATGGAGAAACCTCATTTAATTTTACACGGTTATGAGCCTTTTCTTTTTGAAAGTTCAGGGTTTGAGGTGAAAGAATGAATATGAGTGTGTGTGTATGTGGGGGATCCTTTAAATAGGAGTGAGAATTAACAAAATTGAAAATCTAATAGTCTGCAAAAAGAAGTTTTGAGAAAACTATGTCATATTATTATGCTTTTGGATATAACCAGAAAAAAACATATCAAAGTGACTGGGAAAGAGAGCCGAGACAAAACACTTAATAAGAAGCATGGAAATGGATTTGAAATGTGTACCTCAACAGACTTTGTGTATGAATGTGAAATTGAGGGTTGTTGTTTTTAAGTTGACATACATCTGGTAGGTAACCCATGCATGACTTTGTCATATACAGTGGTAACTTGGTTTACAAACGCATCAGGTTACAAACACTTCGGATTACAAACTCCGCTAACCCAGAAGTAGTACTTTGGGTTGAGAACTTTGCCCCAGGATGAGAATGGAAATTGCGTGCCAGTGGCGCGGCAGCAGCGGGAGGCTCCATTAGCGAAAGTGCACCTCAGGTTAAGAACAGTTTCAGGTTAAGAACGGACCTCTGGAACAAATTAAGTTCATAACCCAAGGTACCACTGTATACAGTAGAGCAGTCAACATTTTCTGGAGGTGCAGCTCGGAAAATACTAGCATGCTTCATCTTTTCTGGTCATGTTTTAAAATAAAAATAATTGGAAAATCAGAAAAAAATGAAATAGAAGTTATAACAGGATATGATTAACTAGAAGATGCATTGATCATATTGTTTGGGCATGTTAAATACTTGGTCTTATCATTTGCTAGTAATATACTAAGGAGTAAACAGTACACAAATCCAGAATGGAGTCCCTAAAACTGTTGGATGGCGTCTTGTACACCTCTTTCCAGCATGTCTTTGTTTGGATCTGGCCTTTCCCAGCCTCTCTTTCCCTTGATGCCCAGGTCATTCCTCTTTTACGGGATCCATGCACTGGTTTGTCTGATATGACATGGAAAGTACATGCAGCTGTCTTAACTCCCTGCAAGACATGGTAAATGATTGCCAGTTGTTGTTTTTAATTCCTGTATAAGCAGCTGTCAATAATAAGCACGTCCGATATAACATGAATACATCTTCTCTCTCCTTTTTGGTTTTTCACTCTAGTGTTATCTTGGAAAATGCATTGGACTTAAAATATGAAATGTCATTTTACTTCAGTTACAAGAAGGTAATATCAATGCTTCTGTCTTCTTTATTCTAGGCTCTAGAAATGGAGAGTCTGGCTATGTGACTGCAGCACTAGGGAATACTTGGAGTCATAGTGTGAATACAAGACTCATCTTGCAGTATCTGGATTCTCAGACAAGACAGGTGAGGCACCAGGGGAAGCAATGTTACTCCCACAGTAATGTATATGACAGACACATTCTGCTCAAAGAAGGTACTCTAAGTTGTAGTTGTCGTATTTTAGTTAGATAACTGAGAGTCCTATAATAAGAAGGAAGGAGGGGCAAAAACATTTTATTTCTTTGCTTCACCTTCCTCCTCTCTACAGGGAATCTATACAGGGGTTGACTTCAGAAAAAAAGCTTCCTCTGACCTTAGTTCAGCTATGATCCTGTCGTTGAACTCCCCTTCTTCAGGGATGAGGTCAAGGACTCAAAGCCAGAGGATGAAATTTCACAAGACAAGCCTGTTGTGCTGGTGCCCTTCTGGCCCAATGATATCACATAGAAACCACAGTACAACCACAGTCTACCTCTCTCCTTTGGAGTAAAAGGAGTGGGCCAGGCCCCTTTAACTGAAGACGCATCCTTCATTGAAGGCAGAGCTTGCAGTTGGAACAGAACTGGTCTGCCTATGTAGTGTATAATCTGCAGTCTTAGGTCAACTGTTGGTAACATCTGATATCTGCTCATCTGTAGTACTCAGACTGAGCCAGGTACAAGGCAGTTTTGCCTTACCTTGCCACTGTGGCAGTTAAGGCAACTGATGTCAAAGACATAAGAACATAAGAGTAGCCTGCTGGATCAGGCCAGTGGCCCAGGTAGTGCAGCACCGTGTTTTCAACCAGATGCCTGTGGGAAATCAGGGAGCAGGATGTGAGCACAAGCGCATTCTTCTCTCCCATGGTTTCCAGCTACGGTATTTTGAAGCACTGCTGCCCTCCAACTGTGGAGGCAGAGCTTGGTCATCATGTCTAGTAGCCACTGATGTCAGTTGAGTGTCTCAGAAAAATTCCCCATCACCCTGCAATTGTTTTGATGATGCGGGGATCAGCCTGCCTTTGTTCTCCTATGGTCACTCCTTTTCCCCTGGGCTGGTGCACATGTGCATCTGCTGCCAGGGACTCCAGATGGCTCATTGCCACCATCCAAGCATTTTGAGGTGGGGAGATATAGAGGTCATTCTTACCTCTCACTATTTTTTCATTAGCCTTGATCATTGGTAGATATTCTATCTTACTTAGCCATGCTTCTTGGTGTGGCCCACACAGAGCCAACACATGGATGTCTTCTTTACTAAAGAGGTAGTTGCATGTATGCCATGGGTAGGAATGTAATGCATGCATCTATATCTGGGAAAGGATCTTCAAACATGTCTGGAAACATGTCTGCTAGTTTTTAGAAATAGCTGCGTGTGTTATGTTGCTATTGCAAGATTCTCATGCATCTTAAGACATAAGTATATGGGGTAAACTTGTTTCTCCAGTACTTTCCCATGGCTAGTAGTACTCTCTGCAGCTTGAGAAAAACAATTGAATTACC